AGGTTTCATCCCTGGGTTGGGAAGATCGCCTGGAGAAGGGAATTGCTACCCACTCCAGTATTCTTGCCTGGAGAATCCCATGCACAGAGGAGACTGGTGGGCTACAGTCCATGGAATCACAAAGAGCTGGACACAACTGAGTGACTAACACACACAAAGGGACTTAAAGGTAGGTGCATTTTCTATACTTCATTTGAACTGGTAAAACATCAATACAAGTAAACTTTGATGTGTATTTACAGTGTACCTAGAATAAGGAACAATTAATTCCAAGGAAGATTGAAAAAAGAAAATAGAGAAATGAAGAACACAGGGAACAAAAAGAAGACGGAAAATTAAGTGGCAGATTTAACACCCTAGTATATTGATAACTAAATTAAAAGTAAATGGTCTAAATACAACAATCAAAAGACAAAAATTGATGACCTAAATTTTAAAAATGACCCAACTATATGCTGTCACATTAAATATAACAGTACAACTAGGTTGAAAATAAAAGGAAAGATATACTATGTAAACATTAACCAAAAATAAATCAGGAGTGTCTATATTAATGTCAGATAAAGCAGATCTCAAAGTAAGAAACTTCTCAAGAACAGAGAATGACATTCAGTTCAGTTCAGTCGTTCAGTTGTATCCAACTCTTTGCGAACCCATGGACTCCAGCATGCCAGGCTTCCCTGTACATCATCAACTCCCAGAGCTTGCTCAAACTCATGTCCATTGAGTCAGTGATGCCATCCAACCATCTCATCCTCTGTCCTCCCTTTCTCCTCTTGCCTTCAATCTTTCCCAGAATCAGGGTCTTTTCTAATGAGTCAGTTCTTCACATCAGGTGGCCAAAGTATTGGAGTTTCACCTTCAGCATCAGTCCTTCCAATGAATATTCAGGACTGATTTCCTTTAGAATGGACTGCTTTGATCTCCTTGCAGTCCAATGGACTCTTAAGAGTCTTCTCCAACACCACAGTTCAAAAGCATCAGTTCTTCTGCACTGAGCTTTCTTTATAGTCCAACTCTCACATCCATACATGACTACTGGAAAAACCATAGCTTTGACTAGACAGACCTTTGTTGAAAGTAATGTCTCTGCTTTTTAATATGCTATCTAGGTTGGTCATAGCTTTTCTTCCAAGGAGCAAGCGTCTTTTCATTTCATGGCTGCAGTCACCATCTGCAGTGATTTTGGAACCCTCTGACTATTTCCACTGTTTCCCCATCTATTTGCCATGAAGTGATGGGACCAGATGCCATGATCTTCGTTTTCTGAATGTTGAGTTTTAAGCCAACTTTTTCACTTTCCTGTTTCACTTTCATCAAGAGGCTCTTTAGTTCTTCTTCACTTTCTGCCATAAGGGTGGTGTCATCTGCATATCTGAGGTTATTTATATTTCTCCCAGCAATCTTGATTCCAGCTTGTGCTTCATCCAGCCTGGCATTTCACATGATGTACTCTGCATATAAGTTAAATAAGCAGGGTGACAATATACAGCCTTGACGTACTCCTTTCCCAATTTGGAACCAGTCTGTTTTTCCATGTCAGGTTCTAACTGTTGCTTCTTGACCTGCATACAGATTTCTCAGGAGGCAGGTAAGGTGTCTGGTATTCCCATCTCTTTCAGAATTTTCCACAGTTTATGGTGATCCACACAGTCAAAGGCTTTGGCATAGTCAATAAAGCAGAAGTAGATGTTTTTTCTGGAACTCTCTTGCTTTTTCAATCATCCAGTGGATGTTGGCAATTTGATCTCTGGTTTCTCTGCCTTTTCTAAATCCAGCTTGAACATCTGGAAGCTCTCAATTCACGTATTGCTGAAGCCTGGCTTGGAGAATTTTAAGCATTACTTTGCTAGCGTGTGAGATGAGTGCAATTGTGCAGTAGTTTGAACATTCTTTGGCATTGCCTTTCATTGGGATTGGAATGAAAACTGACCTTTTCCAGTCCTGTGGCCACTGCTGAGTTTTCCAAATTTGCTGCCATATTGAGTGCAACACTTTCACAGCATCATCCTTTATTATTTGAAATAGGTCAGCTGGAATTCCTTCACCTGCCCTAGCTTTGTTTGTAGTGATGCTTTCTAAGACCCACTTGACTTCGCATTCCAGGATGTCTGGCTCTGGGTGAGTGATCACATCATTGTGGTTATCTGGATCATGAAGATCTTTTTTGTATAGTTCTTTTGTGTATTGTTACCACTTCCTCTCAATATCTTCTGCTTCTGTTAGGTCCATACCATTTCTTTCCTTTATTGAGCCCATCTTTGCATGAAATGTTCCCTTGGAATCTCTTATTTTCTTGAAGAGACCTCTAGTTTTCCCCATTCTATTGTTTTCCTCTATTTCTTTGTGTTGACCACTGAAGAAGGCTTTCTTATCTCTCCTGGCTATTCTTTGGAACTCTGCATTCAAATGGGTATATCTTTCCTTTTCTCCTTTGCTTTTAGCTTCTCTTCTTTTCTCAGCTATTTGTAAGTCCTCCTCAGACAACCATTTCTCCTTTTTGCATTTCTTTTTTTTGGGGATGGTCTTGATCACTGCCTTAAGTACAATGTCATGAACTTCTGTCCATAGTTCTTTATGCACTCTGTCTCTCAGATCTAATCCCTTGAATCTATTTGTCACTTCCACTGTATAATCATAAGGGATTTGATTTAGGTCATACGAATGGTCTAGTAGTTTTCCCTACGTTCCTCAATTTATGTCTGAATTTGACAATAAGTTCATGGTCTGAGCCACAGTCAGCTCTGTCTTGTTTTTGCTAACTGTATAGCACTTCCCCATCTTTGGTTGCAAAGAATATAATCATTGACATGACATAATGATGAAAGAGTCAATCCACCAGAAAGACACTGCAACCGTAAATGTGTATGCACCAACCAAGAGAACTGCAACATATGTAAAGCAAAAACTAATAGAACTGGAAGGAGAAATAAATTCACAATTACAGTTGAAGACTTAAATACCCCTCTCTCAACAGTTGAGAAAATAAGTAGACATAAAGTCAGCAAAGATAGAGAACTAAACAACACCATCAACCAACAGGATCTAATCAGCATTTATAGAATACTCCATCCAATTACAGCAGAATATACTGTTGAAAATATTCTGTTCAGTCACCAAAAAATCATTTACCAAGATAGATCATATTCTGAGGATCACAAAACCGCAACAAAAGTAAAAGAACTGAAATTATACAGAGTATGTTCTGAAACTAGAAGTCTATAAAAGAAAGACAACAGGAAAATTCTCCAAACACTTGAAAACTAAAAAATAGACTTATAGAGAAAGTTTCAAAGAAATTTTTAAAAATACATCGAGCTCAGTGAAACAAATATTCTGGTAACCATTCCATAATCAGGTAATTACAAGGAATAACTTTTACTAAAAGTAAAAAAAGAAATTTAATTTTTATTTCTGAATTGAATATTGCAACATTTTGCTGATTCCAGTTGCTACTACTGCTCTTGAACAGTCATCAGTGGAGACAGATTAGCAATTTTAATGAAAGAAGGCAAGAAAAAAATTATGAAATAAACATATAACTTATGAATTATTAATCTTTATTGTACTACTTGTGCCCAAATATCACTGACCCATCAAGAGAATACTCAGACATAAGAAGAGCAATAAAATTCCATCAGTTCTGATATTTTGCCAACTTTCCATCATATAAAAGCAGTTTTACACATAGTTTTCATTTTTATTATGAAGGAGTATTTGTGGAAATAAGAAATAAACATATTTTATTTAACAACTTGTAACTTGATTTATATTTTTTAAATATTTAGACACGCAGCATGTGTATTTTCATTTCTTCTTTTGCCCTGGCCCCAGCAGATGTTAGTTAGGGGTTGGCTTGGTCCTAAACTCCTTGGCCCTCAGACCCTCAACTCCTTGACCCTCAGACTGTCAGTTTCCTTTTCTGGAAAAAGAGGATAACACTCGTGAGCTCACAGAATCAGGATGAACTAGGCGCGTGAGCAAATACGGCTATATAAGTTCCCTCACTTTCCTGAGGAGGAATTCATGTTCCAGGAGTGTTCTGGAGTTTTTGTTTTGTTTTTCTTTCTTTAAAATTTTATTTTTAGTTTTTGTGGGATCCGTGGGAGACGAATGTATTTGAGTCTCGTGCTTAAGGTAATTGTTGAGGAGAGAGCTGTGTGATAGGCGGGGTGGGATCAGCTCCGAGGACTGGCTTCGGTAGTGGGAATGGAGAAGAGGAATCCCCATCCACCCCCGCAGGAAACGCTCCAGTGATTGGAGGTGTGTGCCTGTGTGTGCTGGTGTGTGAGAAGGGGAGTTAGCTCTGACTCCCTCAGACATCACCACGCATGACAAAGCTACTTCCCCTCACGCTGTCCAAGGCGCACACGCACGATCCACGGCCACGCCCGCACATACTCGACAGACACAGGGCATCCTAGGGTCCGGTTGCCATGGCGAGCAGGAAGGAGCGCTAGAGCCCAGCCGCCCCTCCCGCCCCCGGCCGAACACGGTCAACTCCATCTCTGATTGGCCGTTGCTTCCTCATTATGCAAATCATTTGCGTAGACCCGGCGGCCAGCTGCCCTTACGTCATCAAACACAGGGGCTGGGGCTCGGGGCTCAGCTCCGGGAGAGCTCGGGCGGGAGCCCAGAGAGCGCCGCGCGGGGACCTCAAGCCAGACCCCAGCGTCCCGCCGCCTCGGCCCGGGCCTGCCCCGCCCCCTGCCCCGCCCCCTTCCAGCCCGCCCCACCCTTTCTACGCCCCTCCACCCGGACCCCGCCCCCTGTGCAGCCTTCCCCCCACCCCCCCCCCGTGCCCTCGCCGCCTGGGTCCCGCCCCCTCCCCCCCGGCCCTCTCCACCGGTCCAGGGAGGGGACGGCGGGACAGGCGGGACCGGCGGGAGGGCGGACCGGGCGGGGATATGGCCGCGGCGCCCGGAGGCCCGCGCCTGGGTTTCAGCACCGCGGACAGCGGCATCGGCATGAGCGGGCTAAACCCGGGTCCTGCCGTGCCCATGAAGGACCACGACGCCATCAAGCTTTTCGTGGGGCAGATCCCGCGGGGCTTGGACGAGCAGGACCTCAAGCCGCTGTTCGAGGAGTTCGGCCGCATCTACGAGCTGACGGTGCTGAAGGACCGGCTCACCGGCCTCCACAAAGGTGCGCGGGGTCAGCCCAGCCCAGCCCTGCCCAGCCCTGCCCAGCCCAGCCCCAATCCGATTAGAGTGAGGCCCAGCCCAAATCCCAGCCTCAACTGCAGCCCCAACCCAAGCCCTGCCTAGAGCCTGTCCAACACCAGTCCAATACCAGCCGACTTCAGCCCAGTCTTTCTCCCAGATCACAGAACCCTCAACCCAGAATTTTCTGACACCCTCCTTCTGATCATCACTCTGGCCCCCTGACGTGTTCTCTATTCTAACCTCCAATTCCCTACCCCTTGGCTCTCACACCCTAACAGTCTCCGCCTTTCAGCTGGACTTCCCTCCATCTTTCCCATCAGACAGCCCAAATCCAGGAATTTGGGAACTTATTACACCTTCTAAGTCTCTGACACCCTCAGTCTCCCAAACCCTGGACCCAATCATTCCTGAATCACCACCACTCCCCCACATCTGGTGCCAGCCCATTCAGGGCTAACCACGTTCACACGCATTTTGGAGTTGCACCCCTCATTCTTGCCTCCAAGACCTGGCAACATCTAGAGCCTTTTTTTGATTCAGATTGCCAACCTAAAATCCCACAGACTCAAACTCTTGCCTTCTTCAGAATGCAGGCCTGTCTAAATCACAAAATCCAATTCCCTTCCCAGGAGGCTCTCCACCAAATCCCACCTTCTTGCTTAGGAATAGCCCCAGTCTCTCCATTCCCATCCAGAACCCCAACACTGTCTTCTTCTGATCTGAGTCCAGGACTCTGACCTCAGCAGGAACTCCAGCCATCTGTGCTCCATCATCCCCCGCATCTCAGGTGTCCTCTCAGCTGAACCCACACTTGTTTTACCCTCTAATCTCCTCACTCCCGTGCCACATATTTGTCCCTTCCCAATCCTCTTTATGGCCTCCCAATCCTCTTTATGGCTTTCCCTTCCTCACAAGCTGGTCCTAGACCAGAACCTGTGGACCAGAGCCTCAAGGGTGGGTCAAGTTGAAGAGGCAGAAAGTGGTCTTCTCCCAGACCCTGTTCAAGAGACAGGCACCATGGTCCTGTCCTGCCACACCTCTTTCTTCCTGTAGGGATAGGGAGGAGGCTTGTTTACATGCAGAAAAGTCTGTCCAGGCTGGGCTGGAGTAAGATGGCCAGAGTCACATGTCATACATGGGCACAGGAAGGAAATTATTTGAAAAGAATCACTTTTTTCTCTCCCCACCTTCACCATGCTGTAGTTTTAGGTTTTGTGGAGTAGGGGAGGGTCTCCAACTATCCTCCATGATCTTTCCAGGAGAGAAGTTGTAGGCCCTGGGTATCAGCTAAATGTATTTTCCTAAGGGCTGAGAGCTGGAATCAGGCTGCCTCCTTTTCCACTCAGAGGCTTTGGGGAGTTCCTAGGCACACTAATGTAGGAGTTTCAGGAAAATGCCCATAGAGGATCCGGGAACAGCTATGTAGCAGTGCATCTTAAACCCTTTGGAGTGGGGTTATTTTTAAAGGGGCATGAAACCACAAGACCATACCACCCAGATCCCTTCTAATGCAGTCCAGTTGCCCAACTGCCCATCCATCCATAGCAACTTATGGTCTTATTTTTTAGACATTTATTTCAGTATGTAAGTACAAGCTGGTCTTTCTGAGCAATCTGTGTAGTAAAGGAAGTGTATAGATTATCTTTAATTCTCACTCTTCTCACTCAAACACCATGAGTCTCTGAACTGTTCTCTAATCTTTTCTCTCTCTCCACTTAGTTCTAATTCTTCCTGTTCCCCCCCCCCCACCCATTCATCTGACCCTCAAGCCATGCTTCTCTGTCTTTTTATCCTTCCATTCTTCCACTCCCTGTCCACAGAGGGCTCCTTTTGGCAGCAACTAGGCCCTTGAGCCTTTCAGACAGGGCCCCAGCCCTGCTCAGTTCTGACATCAGCTAATATGGTTTGGTGGTGGAGGATGGAGTAGGGATGTAAGCGGAATTAGGTTTTGGTGATTTTTCCCCCAAATCAACCCACAACTCTTGAAGGCAAGGTTACTTTGCAAGGTCAATGGGGAGGGTCTCCCAATCAACATATTCTCCACCTTCTCCCCAGCAACAGTGACATCCAAAAGCCAGAGTGACTCATTTTCTTTTAGATGGTGAATACTGAAGCGGGCAGCCACAGTGCTTTGAAAACAAGTGCAGCCTAGGAGTTGGAGATTCCAAACCCTGTCCTACCACTGGCATACTTTCTGGGCATCAATTTTCCCATTGATATGATAAGTGTTTGTTCCAGGAGTTCTCTAAGGTCTCTTTAACCCAGTGAATGGCAGATATCTGCCCACCTTAAGAGGACAGCCACATAGAAAACAATGGATAAAATGTTCCCATTTGCCTTTGCAGTCTGCTGAGGTCTAAGTGGAAAACTACACCAAGCTCCTAATGGTTTCCCACATCCACTTTCTCTTCCTTTGGTCTTTCTCCTTCCTTTACTCAGAAGGCTCTTCTTGAAAACACAGACCTAATGTCACAACCCTGCTTAAAACCCTTTAGTGGCTCTCTACTGTTCTTAGGACAAAATTCAAAATCCAAATTGAAGTTACAGATGAGCTGATCCCTGCATACCTCTCTGGCCAATCTGCCCCCAGTTACCAACCTTCAACCATACTGGCCTTCCATCTGTTTCCCCAACACACTGAATTCTTCACTTAGTCCTTATATGTACTATTCTCTCTGCTTGAAATAATCACTACCCTTTCCATCACCTCATTAACTCCCCCTTTATTATTGAGAGGTCGGTGTGTTCTTTGAGACATTTATTCCTCAATTGTATGGACTTAGATACGTCTCCCTCACAATCCTTCACACGATTCCCATGAGGGCAGGAAATGTGTCTGTCTTGTTACCACTTTACCTTCAAGCCATTATAATATACCACTATAAGAAGTAAGTATTCAATAAATCTTTTCTGGGTAAGTGAGTACTCAACGACTTTTGGAACGGAAGAAGTCTTGGCCCTATGCTTCCTAGCAGGCTACAGGTTCTGAGGCTGGACAAAGAGTGGGTAGGACTGAACCTTTGGTTCAACTCAGACTCCTCTCCCCTTTAACTACTCATTCTTTTAGAGAAGTCAGATTTAGGGCATAAAAGCTCTTAAGAGGCCCTATCCTGCAGTCCTGGAGGGTTGATGGATCAAGTACTTTGGATAGGATTGGAAGTCCCTAGAAGCTCCTATCTGTAGGATGTCCTTAAACCAGTTCCATCTCCCAAGCCTCAAATCAATCCATTCCTTAGACTCAAAGTAGGAGGAGGTATCAGGAAGGAGTTGTGGAGTCCTGGGCTTGGCTCCCAACCTTCTTTCTCCTCTTCTGTCTCCTCCCATCTGAAACTGAGTTGGGAAGGAATTGAGGCTGATTCTTAGAGACTTTAGGAGTATGAATCCAAAAAGGAAGGGGGAGGTTGGGGTTAAAGCTGAAGGCAAAGCCGCTTAGGGAGGTTTAACCCCAACAGGATTTATGGCTGGCGTGGGGAGGGGAGATGTGGGATTGCATGAATATGTGATTGGATGTGGGTGCACATGTTCCCTAGGCAAAAGGCCAGGAGCGAGTGAGGGAGCCAGAGTCTGCAACACGGGCACATGAAGCCCCTCCCTTCAGAGAAGGTGGGAGGCAGAGAAGGCTTCTCAGAAGCAGTACCCGAGTTGAAAGGAGAATGGCCTTGAGTTTGTCAATGTAATAGGGTCTTTCCAGGAAGAGTATCTGGGGGTTTTAGGAAACCCCCTGAGCCAGCCTCTTCCTCCCCAGGCTGTGCCTTCCTCACCTACTGCGCCCGGGACTCTGCTCTCAAGGCCCAGAGTGCACTGCACGAGCAGAAGACCCTGCCAGGGGTAAGTCCACCAGGGCTGGGGCGGGTGGGAACCACCTCCGGCTGGGAACATGCTCTATGTGCTTGCCAAAGCAGCATGTGGTGGCTGGGTTGGGATCAGGAACTAGAAGACGAGTCATCTTTCTAGGAGAGGACTTACCTGTACCCTTAACAGGTACAGGTTATTTGTTAATTTCAGTCCTCCGGTCCAAAGAAATGGGCTTGAGACTCTTGGGCCAAGTGTACTATTCCCATCTTTTAGGAAAGGCATTACTCTTATGAGTTATGCTAGAATTTGTCTACGTTGGCTAAAATCATGATGTTAGGTGTCATTTGTCACTGGTGTGAGCATATTTGCAGATACACAGGGGAAAGGCTCTGCTGGGCTGGTATCCCATTTCTTCGAGTTTTGGGGCCCTTGATGATCCTCTTCCTGTAGCGTTTTTTCGGGCGTCTTGACTCACCAAGATTGCTTTCCTTCCACACCCCCAAACACTTAGGTCAAGGTTAAGAGAGACCTCATTCTACAGGCAGCTAGGCCACTGTACATCAGTGGCACTTGATATGGCCTTGGCTAATGGCCAATCACTGGACAGAAGCCAAAGTAGGACCTACTGCTGGAGGAATAAAGTGGTGATTGTCAGGAACTAGTGTTCCTAACACTTGGTGAACTGGGGTCACCAAGAGCAAGTCATGCTACACAGCTTCATTTTCTCTTGTCCAAGGAGTGACATGTCTAGAGCAAGAATGCTATTCCACTGTCCTGGGCAGGCCAAACCTGGGAATATATCCAATTCCACGCCTCAGGATTAAGAGGGTCAGGAGCCTACCAGAAAGAGACTTGGATGGTATAGGGACATAAAATATATTATGGAATTATAATTTGAAGAATCATGGATATTCAGCTGGACAGGGTTTAGTGGGGAGCTACAATAGGGAGACATCATAACATAATCATTAAGAATACTAGTTTTTGAGTCTCACAGACTGGAGTTGAATCCCAGCTCTGCCATTTAGCATTTCTGTGTCTTCAGATACATTACTTAGACATTCGAACTTCAATTCCTCACCTATAGGGAGTGAGTAATACTAACACTTAGCTCACTGGACTACTGGGGGGATTAACTGAGGCTTAGCAAGTACCTGGCACAGAGTAAGATCTCAAAACATATTACTGCTGGGGTGGGTACCCGCTTTCAGATCCTGAAGAGGATTTGGTTTTCTATGGGTGTCCCATAGGGCAGGACCAGGATCAGTGGGGTATAAAGAACCGCTACATTAATTTCAGCTCAGTATAAAGAATTCATTTCTCATCATCAGAGCTCTCCAGCAATAAAACAAACTTTAGGGAATTCTCTGGTGGCCTAATGGTTAGGACTCCACACTCACTGCTTGAGGTCCCAGGTTCAAGCCCTGGTTGAGGAACTAAAATCCTCCAAGCCACATAGTGCAATCAAAATATAAAAATTCAAATTAAATTACATTTTTTAAAAGAGACAAGCTTTACTTAGAGCTGATCAAGCTGTTAACAGGGTGTCAGATCCTAGAACCAATCCTTGTAATTGAAGGAACTTGAGCCTGGCTCTTGAAGGCTCAGTGTCAAGTAACACCAACTTGGGCTTCCTGGATGACTCAGTGGTAAAGAACCAGCCCGCAATGCAGGAGAGCCAGGTTCAGTCCCTGGGTAGAGAATATCCCCTGGAGAAGGAAATGGAAACCCACTCCAGTATTCTTGCCTGGAGAATCCCACGGACAGAGGAGCCTGGCAGGGTACAGTCCATGGGGTCGCAAAGAGTCAGACAACTGAAGTCCACCACTGCCACCACAACACCAACTTATCACTCTCACCAATCCTCTGTAGGCAGGCTCTAGAGACAGACAGACCTGGGTGTCAATCCAGGACCTACTACTCACTAACTCTATGACCTTGTGCAATTCTTTACTGCTCTAAGCCTAGGCTTTCCTCCTCTGTGAAATTGAGCATGTAGGGCTGTTATAACAATTAAATAAACTAAGTCATATAAAGTGCTTAACACAAATCTTGGCAGATAGTAAGTATTCAGTACAGGTTAGCTGATGGTAGTAGTAGTAACAGCAGCATTACTAGGAGTGATAGTAGAAGTCATTATGCACCCACCCTTGGGAGTAAATAAATGACTTCTGTCACTAGAATTAAGAGTCAGTGAGACAAGTGATAAGACTCCATATATGGGAAACATCATGGTAAAGGTTCAGAGGCAAGAGGAACAGATGGGTGTGAAATGGGGCTGGGGGTGTAGAGGAGGGTCCCCACATGAGCACGGGCCAGACCAGAGAGAAGATCCACAGAGGGCAATGGTTGAAGGGAAAACTTTGAGTCCCAGGGTGAAGGGTTTGCACTTTATCCTGAAAGCTAATGGAAGGCACTGAAAAAACTTAAGATGAAATCTGGGAGAACAAATCCTCCCCCAGGGACTTCCCTGGTGGTCCAGTGGCTAAGACTCTGTGCTCCCAATGCAGGGGATCCAGCAGAGGAACATATAAGGAAGATATGGTACATATATACAGTGGAATGTTACTCAGCCATGAAAAAGAAATAATGCCATTTGCAGCAACATGGATGGACCTAGAGATTATCATATACAGTGAGTGAAGTAAGTCAGACAGAGAAGGAGAAATATCATATGACATTCCACATATGGTGGAATGTAACATGAAATGATACAAATGAACCTACAAAATAGAAAGAGACTCACAAACTTAGAAAATGAACTTATAGTTGCCTGGGGAAAGGGATAGTTGGGGACACACCACTATATTCAAAATGGATAATCAACAAGGACCTATTGTATAGCAAAAACAAAAAAACAAAAAAATGCAGGGCATCTGGGTTTGATCCCTGGTTAAGGGAACTATTGGGCTTCCCAGGTGGCACTAGTGGTAAAGAACCCACCTGCCAATGCAGGAGCTGTCAGACACTCTGGTTCAATCCCTGGCTTGGGAAGATCCCCTGGAGGAAGGCCTGGCAACCCACTCCAGTATTCTTGCCTGGAGAATTGAATGGACAGAGGATTCTGGTGGGCTATGGTCCATAGGATCACAAAGAGTCGGATACAACTGAAGCAACTTAGCGTGCACATGCATGCAGGAAACTAGATTCTGAATGCAACAACTAAGAATCTGTATGCTGCAACTAAAGATCCTGCATGCTGCAGCTAAAACCTGGTGCAGCCAAATAAATAAATAATAAAGAAAAAAACCCCCTCCTCAACCAGCCACAGGGCTTCACAATTGAAGGGGTACCTGGTGGACTCTATCAGGCTGAGGGCACCTGAGATAAGGACAGTGAAGCGCTATACTACTAGGGTAATTTCTGGGAAGGAAAAGAGAAATAATAACTAATATGTATTGATAGCGACAGTGTTCCTAGCACTTGACATGTTCAAAGTCATTTAATCCTCTATGAAAAAGGTATTGCTAATGGCATTCACATTTTATAGATGAGGAAATTGAGTCATGGAGAATAAGTGACTTGCCCAAGGTCAGGTAGTTACTGATGGGAAGATCAGGGCTTTGAGCCTAGGCAGTCAGGCTCCAGAACTCATTAACTTAGCCACTGCACTGTTACCTAAGCCAGGCTGGCGGCAGACAGAGGTCAAAGGTTCTAGAGAAGATGATGACTGGGTACACCTGGCCCCTCTGACCCTTTCATCCTCAGTCTTCCAACATGGCCTGACTTCCTCTGATACTGCCAGGATTGGCTTGATTCACCCTCCTCAGCTTAACAAAGTGAAAATTAATATTTAATTATTCTCCTAAATGAAAATCAATGGCCTGTTGGCCAGCCCCAGCATTGGCCGAGCCATCCATCTTTCCTCTGGGCCTGCCAGGGGCAGCAGCAGCTTTAGTCACCTGGCCTTGGGCCCACCAGCATGGAGGGGGAAGGTGCCCAGATCCATGTAGGCTCAGGGTCCTGGGCACATCTGCCACCTGCTGGAGAAGCAGAGACAAGACTTCAATCTGGACTTCTACTGGCGACAGTCACAGCTGTCACTATGGGGTTAGGAAAAGCTGGGTCAAGCTCAAAGAGAAAGCCTGAACCCCTAGGAGAAATTTCATGGTGTCTGCCCAACTGGTACCTCCCCCAGCCCCTCTCTATCAGCTCCCTGCTAATTTCTATCACCTATTAAAGCTTGGCTCCCAAATCAGGACTCCCTTCAGACCTCAGTGGTTGTCCCAGCTTCTGCAGCCTCTTCCCCAGGAAGCTGGAGCGGCTTCTTTCAGCCTCACTTCAAGCTCCAGAATCCACCTGGAGAAAGTGAGGCCCAACCTTAGCCCTGCCTTCCGGGATTCAGAAGGCGCCCCCTCCCTCATTTGTTTCTCTTCATGCTCATGATCTCCTTTTCCCTGGGCAACCACCCCTTCAAACACTGAGTACACTTGCTTTTGCAGGTTTTGTCCTGCACAAAAGAGCTTCAGTGAAAAAGGCGAACAGGGGCTGTAGTCTAGGCTTGCTCTGTTGACCCAGCCATGCTCATGATCATAGGACTGTGTCAGCCCAGAAGAAGGGGGACATTCTTCCCAATCTCTCTACAGTATCTAATTTGCCTGTCTATATCTCACACAGATGCACTGTATGTGCTAGCACCTGCTCATTGCGTGAGCTGGCGCCTTTGCCTTCAAGGAGCTTCCAGCCCAGAAATAACCCACTGCACCTCAGTGGGGTTTACCTCTGGGCACATAAAAGAGGCATCAGGAGTGGAGAGGGAGGAGATGCTATCTGAGCTGAATCATGATCATCACGTTTGAGGGCCTAGAAACCTAAAAGACAAAGGCCACTTCTGGAATCCTGGGGACAGTGTGAGAACTGGTAGGGAAGGTGTCCAGTGGAGATGGCTAAGGCTCCAACTGAATGGAGAGGATCACATGTACAGGACCACAGGGGAGGCAGGACTAACAGGTTTGGGCTCCCAGTCTTAGGACTTGGCTTTATTGGAGGCTTACAATGGGGAACTGTGGGTGCATTTGGAGCAGGGAAGAGTGAGGGGCTGGTATTAAAAGATCACTCTGGCTATGGTGTGAGGCTGGCGTGGAGAGGAAGCACTGCTGGAGGCAGGTGACCCTCTGGACACTGTTGCTTGAGTGCAGGTAAATATCATACTGGCCTGGAGCTGGGGGTGAGGCAGGGATGGAGAGGAGAGGATGGACTTGTGATCTATTCAGAAAAACCATACAGACCCTAGAACGAATGGGACTCAGGAGTGGACTGAATTAGAGGAAGGGGGTCAGGTGGAACAAAGTGCTGACAGCGTTGGTTTCCTTTTTATCTGCTCAACTCTCTCTTGCACCCATGACACCTCTCTAAGACCCACCAGGAGCCCCTTCTTCGGGGAGGTTCCAATAAACATTCTTGGAATGGGAAGGGGCTGAGGGCACCATGAGTGCCGAGTGGAGGGAACAGTTAGCATCAGGACAGAAGAGTCTGAAGAAGGTGATGCGGAGCCCAAAGGCAGGAACTGTGGGCAAGTCAAGCAGAGAGAAGGAGTAAGGTATGGCCTTCTTTGCTGCTCACAGGGGCAGAAGGATCAGGACCCAGTATGTGTCTGTGCTGCTGCTGACCTTCTCCATTCCATGGCCTGGAGTAGGTTGTTCTCTCCTTTTTCTGACATACTCTCCCTTGACTTCCCCTCCAGGGCTAGGTCCTGAAGCAGACATAGGCCTGGATTTGGGAAACTTAGGGGAACAAGTGTTCAGCCAAGGGCGAGAGCTCCCCTGAGCTCCCATGAAAAGTGCTTGGCCAAGCAGGCAATGCCTTCTTTTCTTCAAAGGGGAATCGTGGGTACTTCACCCCACTCCCACATCCCTCCCCTGGCTATAGAAGCAATAAGGCAGGGTAGGGTTGCCCAGGTAACTCATGTGGGCAACTCTCTATCTTCTTCAGTCACAGACAACATACCCAAATCCCGGATGCCCTCCCCAACCACTTCCCAGTGGAGACTGAAGGTCAGAGCCTAGGGGAGCATTCCTTTTCCCAACTCAGTCATCACCATCTTGGGCTCCTCCCCTGCACCTCCTACCTGCCAATCTACCAACTTCCCCAACACCTAAGCCAGAAACCTGAGTCAGTCAGAATTTCCTCCTCTCCTCATTCCCCATATCCAATACAACTTTAGTCCAGTTCATTCCTCCTCAACATTTCTTGAATCTGTCCATTTCCTTCTGCTCTGATCCAGGTCACCCTCAACCCTTACCTGTATCACTGATCTTCCTCCCTCTAATCTTTCCCTTTCCAATCCTTTCTCTGTATAATGACATCTCATGGGATCCTCCATAAGACAGATTCTTCCCCTGCTTCCCTGGATCTCTGCTGCCCTTGAAATACAACAAACTTCCTCATCATAGTTTTCACAACCTGCCCCAATCTGGCTTCTTCTGACTTTTCAACTTCATATCCTTCCATTTAAAACACACACACAAAACAAACAGAAAACATATTACATCTGGCATATCTACTAAGATCTAGCTTTTGTCACTTTCACCACACCCCTTCATGAGTCCCCTTTTACTAATGTGGCTACTGAGGCTCAGAGACCTTTAAGTAAATTGTACTGATGGAACCAGGATCTAAATCCACATCTGTCTGACTGGGAGAAATTTGTACTACTCTAGCCCCCTAGTGGCTCAGCTGGTAAAGAATCCACCTGCCATGTGGGAGACCTGGGTTCAATCCCTGGGTTGGGAAGATGCCCTAAAGAAGGGAAAGGCTACCTGCTCCAGTATTCTGGCCTGGAGAATTTCATGGACTGTATAGTCCATGGGGTCACAAAGAATTGGACACGACTGAGCAACTTTCACTCGCTAGCCCCCTCAATGTCAGGCGCCCACCTGAAAACCCTTGCTCCTTCAGACTTGCGTCTCCGTCTCCATGCCCCAGCCATCTGGAATGTGCAGCCTTTCCCTGCCCTCCCATGATGGCCCAGTGACCCCAGTGCTGCAAGACCCAGCTCAAACCCTGCCTGCTCCACAAAGCCGTCCCTGAGCCAGCCTCTCCAGCTGGACTCAGCCTCTCCCACAGCACTTCACCTTGCACTCCTCCCCTGGTCCTGGTCCCTCTGGGCCTCATTTGTGTTCATGTCTTCAGAACAGAGTTGAGAAACTCAAGGGAAAATCATGGACTTCAGTGTCAGACAGACCTGGGGGCAAATCCCAGCTCAACTGCCATGTGATCTCAGACAAGTGATTTAGCTTCCCCCAGCCTCAAGTTTCTCATCTGTAATATGGGAACAATGGCATTCTCTAGTAGAGTGTTTGGAAGGAATGTAGAGACAGTGTATACAAAGCGCCCCAGGAAGGGCCTGGCACATAGTGGGCTAAATGGTGGCATTATTTTCCCCTTTAAGGACAGGGTCCCAGGGTCATCGCTGTCTCCCCTGAAGGGCCCAGCTCAGGGCTCTTCAGAGTTCTAGGAATACTGACAACATGGCTGAGTGGTGGAAAGTCTAGGTGCCCAACTTCTGAGACCTGGGCTCTGCCGGGTCCACATGGGATGTTTATGTACCACCTAATGCCCACTCTCCATCAAAGAGTGATGCAGTGGGGGAGGGGGGAGGGGACATCCTCCAGAGCCCCAGTGAGCTCCATCTCCCCAGAAACCCAGCCAGGGAGGCAGCTGCCATGGAAACTGCTGTCACATGTGCTCATCACTCTAGGCTCCAGAGAGAAATTCTTAGAATCTATGTAAGAACTAATAAAACAATGATGGTCTTGCTCACCCTCACTGCCCCCCATCCCAGGCTTCTCCCCTTCTGCCATGCTCCGCCCTCCCTCTCCTATGCTCCCTTCCTGACCCTATCCCCTCAATTCCTTTTCATCTCCACCAGTATTTCTTTCCTTGCCCCTTTGCAGGTCTGTCTTACTCTCTTATCATTTCTGTCTTCCTGTGTCTCTTCATCTCTCCCTGTGTCTCTGCTCTCCATGGCTCTGTCTCTTGGTCTCTTCTCCACAGTCACAGGTGGCCATGTCCAGGGAGGGGTCCTGTCCTCCCGGCCCCTGGTCCAGGCCAGTCCAGACCTGTCCAGCTCGCCCTGATCTGCTTGGATTGATCTGTCATCCCCTCTAGACTGCAGCCTGAGTCCTGTCGGTGTCTCGGCCCCCACCCACAACCTGGTCCACTGCAGGTGCTCCACCACCAGCGGGTGGGTGTTTCAGAGCACATAAGAACCTGAGTCCTGGGAGGGAGGGGGATTGTGCTGGTTCAGGCTTGGCTTGTTTTCCTTTCCTTTTTTTTTTTTTTTAAAGCCCTCCCCACTCCCCCTCCTCCAAATTTGATCCAAAGGAAATTGCTCAACTGTGACTGCCAGGGCGTTACCATGGTTACTGGGTAGCACTTGTGGCTATGGTAACAGGAAGCTGCCCGTTGTCTCGGCAACAAGCATACTGGTAGAGGATGAGGTGGCCCCTGATTGGTGCAGAAGCATTGCATTTCCTGAGGGGAGGGGGTCAGATCATCACCTTCTCAGGCCAGATGGGCATCAGTACCCCTTCCTCCACGAACAGGAAGGCTGCGGTTTATTCCTCCCAGCACTCAGCTGTCTGCCCCCCAACAATAATTCCTCACATCCTACGCACCCAGCTCCTGGCAGTTTACAAAGACCTTTTGCGTCCCCATTATCTCATGTGATCCCCACAACACCCATGAGAGGAAGGTGAGATGGGGATTCAATCATGAATTCTCTCAGGGTGGTTGGGGGATGGGAATGGGTGGGGTGTATGTCGAAATCACCTGGGAGCATTTACCAATGATACAGTTCCCCCAACTTGAGAGTCTGATATGGTTCCCGGGTGATTCATATCTGCCCCTGATCAGGGAACCCTTGAATTAGAAGGTGAAATTGGTTGGTGGGGGAGGGGAGGGAGGAAGGAGTCAAGCTGCTTTCCAGGTTTACAGCTTGGGTGACTGGAAGGATCAGGTCTGGGCAAAAAGATGAGCTCTGGTTTGGGTGTGTTCAGTGGAAGGTACCAGTGGACTTTCTAGTCGGGGTGTCCAGCAAGCAGCTGGCCACAAGGGGCTCAAGCTCAGGTGGGAGGTCCAGGCTGGAGATGCAGAGCTCTGAGTCATCCCTGTGGGGACAGGAGCAGAGGCTGTGGGTGTGGATGAGACTCTTCAGGATGAAAGGGAAGAGTGGGGTAAGTGGGGCTGAGGATGGTACCCTGGAGAACTCCAGCATCCTCAGGGGTAGGGGGTGCCCAGGGAGAGGACTGGGAGGGTGAGTGTAGACTATAGTGACATAGAAGCTTGGGGGAGGTTTTTCTCGTTTGACAAGTTGAATCTGAGAGAGGCTTCTCGGATTCATAAGTAAGTCATACAAACCACTAAACAGCAGGGTTGGGGATAGACAACACTAAATCTTGATTCCCAGACTGTTTAAATGACACATAGAAATTATATCCTCAGTCTTAGACACAAAACACAAATCCGTTCTACCCTGCTACCCAATTCTTCTCACCCAGAGGAACTCCAGGAGCCAGAGGGACAGGCCTCACGTGGTCCGTGCCCAGAGCCCAGGCCAGGAGAATCTCTTTAGCCTCCACATTCCCTCCTCTACTTGCCCTGAGCTTCCTATGGCCTAATCCTCAGGCTTCAGTACCTTCTAAAGTCCTGTGTTTAAGGGAGGAATCTTGGAGAAAAACTATAATTCCTGTGTGAGAGTGGTGGGGTTTAGAGTGGTGGGGTGAGGGCTTAGATCCTGAGAAGTCCAGGGGTGGAGAAGCCGGGGCCCCAGGACCAGGCGGTCATGCTGATGGGGTGTGTTGGTCCGATGTCTTTCAGATGAATCGTCCTATCCAAGTGAAGCCGGCTGCCAGTGAGGGCCGAGGAGGTAACTTGCCTGCCTGACAAATCTCAGGGTATCATTCATGTTGGGGATGGTGGGCCCACTCCTGAAGTCAGGTTTACCCATGTTTTATTACTAGAGCCCCCACCCCCACCTTGGATAAGGGGAACAAGTAGGGAGGGACCAGATTACTGAGCCCCAGAAACAACTCAGCCATTCCAGATCAGACTGAGGAAGGATGGGGTCCCAGCATCCCCAGATCCAGAAGAGGCAGGAGAGAGAGGCTGCATGTATAGGAAGGGAGTTCTTGCCACCTTCCCTTCATTCCTGTTTTAACAGGTGGAACTTCCAGATTTGTTTGAAGAACCAGGCTACAGTTATTCTCCTTTTCCAGATTCTTCTGATTACAGAAAACCCAGTCCATTCTGGGTTGGAGCCACTCATATTCCTTCATTGCCTTAGGAAAAAGATGAGGCTGGTCAGACAGATTTTGCAGGCCATATTAAGAAATTTGACTCTATGTTGAGGACCATGGAAAGTCTTCAAAAGTGATTTTTTTTTTTAGCTGCACTGCTTGATAGTGCAGAAAAAAAACTAAAGCTCCTTAAGAACAGAGGGTTTGAGAGCTTGTGCTTTTTGACAACCAGCCACGTTATGGCCAGCTTCTAAGCTGGAAAAGCAATACTAGCTTCTGGTGTCAGTTCTTGGTGTCTTTCTTGCCTTTGGATGTTAAATCATTCCAAAATATCTGCCTGTAGCCCTCCCTGACATCTGCTGACTCTCTATGATCTCTGATTCTGGTCTCTGATTTCCTGATCTCTGATTCTCTGCTTCTGGTCAAGATACTACCATCCCACTTTGTCTTGAGAAGCTATTTCCAAGCTTCCTTCCTCCCCTTTCATACACACATCCTCCTTTTCCATCTCATTCTTTCCAGAGTGGTTTTTGAGAAGTTCCAGGCTGCATACCAAACCTCTGGTTCACTTGTCCCAAGAATTTCTGCTTCTTGGGAAACTGTTAGGCATCACGGCCAACGTTGGCCATCTTCTCAGCCCTGCTCACAATCACTAGACAGTTCCACAGCTGAGAGGCCACCTGAGAGTATTTGAGTAAGCTAAGAAGCAGACAGGTTGGACTGTAGTTTGTTCAACCATCCAACCAATATCTGTTGAGTAACTTACTCCACATTAGGAATGCAAGGCAAACCTGCCTCCTGGCCTCACAGAGCTCTGAAGCAATAAGGGGATATAAACAGCAAAGGAAGCTATTATTCAGTGTGATCAGTGCTTTTCAAGTCCTGGGGGTTGTGGAGACACAAACATGGGACACCCAACTTGGTCTAGGAGGTCAAGGTGGGCTCCCAGAGGTAACAGTATTTAAACTGAGACCTCCAGGATGAACAAGAAGTAGCCAAATAGAAAAAGGAGGAGCAAGGGAACAAGGACATCAGGCAGAGGGAAGCACCTGTGCAGGGCTCAGAAGAACACGATGCAACTTGGAGTCTCGTTCGGGAACTGAACCCAGGACACTGGGGCCACACTTGTTGCTTGGAGTCTAACAAGACCAAAGAGGTCTGCCTGACAGTAGGATTCATAATTTTAAAAAGAAAAATAGTGAAAGTTTTAGCAACTCAGTCATGTCCAATTCTTTGTGACCCCATGGACTGTAGCCTTCCAGGCTCCTCTGTCCATGGGAATTCTCCAGGCAAGAATACTGGCGTGGGTAGCCATTCCCTTCTCCAGGGGATCTTCCCAACCCAGGGATCAAACTCAGGTCTCCTGCATTGCAGGAGGATTCTTTACCATCTGAGCCACCAGGGAAGCCCTTTAGTAGTCATGTATAACAGATATTTCTTGACAAGCGATGGCTTTTAAGGAGCATATTATCCAAAGCATAGATGCCTTTGGATAATCCTTCTTGCAGTTTTGGATGACCAGATCTCTCAATTCCTTCCTGCTCCCACTCAAAGTCACCAAATGTTCCCTGATACACATTTGGGAGAGAGGCGGCATATGTACTAAATCTTGCAGAACAGTTGGGTCTTTATAAATATCTTACTTTTCCAGTAAAATTGGAAAAGACCCTGACTCATTGGAAAAGACCCTGATGCTGGGAAAGACTGAAGACAGGAGGAGAAGGGGATGACAGAGGACGAGATGATTGGATGGACATGAGTTTGAGCAAGCTTTGGGAGCTGGTGATGGACAGGGAAGCCTGGCACGCAGCAGTCCATGGGGTTGCAAAGAGTCAGACACGATTAAGTGACTGAACTGAAACTGAAGTATTTTACTACTAACTGATCTGTTAGATACTAATCAAAATGTGCTCCGTCTCTTCAATGCTATTGTATATCTTTTCAGAAGCTCTCTGCTGAATTTTAGCACAAATTAATGTTTTAGAAACACAATTTTTAAAATGGTATTGAATTTGATTTTGAAACGTAACATTTCCACCAATGTAGGACAGCTTGTCCCATTCAAATCTTATCTCTGTGATCCCAAACATTCTATAAACCTTCAGAGTTAATGATCATGCCTGCCCTGATACAGGTAAGCCTGTGAGCTTGCATATTTTTAAATTATTCCTGAAATTAAATCCTTTGTATACAGATGATTAATGACTTTTACAACTGACAAAAATACTGGTATCAATGCAGACATAATCTAAGGTGTATCAAGGCAAATATAATCTTCCAAAACTTTGTCATTTTTTTCTGGAAGAGATTATTAGCTAACGCAAATGCTACAGGAGCCAGGTAAGTAACCCTAAATGGTTGAAATTGTAATGATTTAATTAAAAATTTCCCCTTTAATATATTAAATGTTGGCAGCTAATTCCATTTTTAAAAGTGGACCAGCACTGTGACAGCCTAACCAAACCTATCAAGCTTGCTTCTTTGGCCCAAAGACTTCCATTTTCCCTTTGCCATACAGGAGTATTCTACTATGTCCACATGCATGAGCTTTTTGAAAAAAATAATCACTTCACATTCTATCTCTTGAATTTTGAAACCAATGCAACAGAGGAGTATTACTATTATTCTTAATCAATAGACATGAGGATTGTGTTTGGAATAACCTACATTTTACTTAATTTTTTAATAACTTCTATTGTGGGTCTGTTTTATTTTCACTTCCAGCCAATGTTGTAGAAATCAGATTGTTAGCACAGCAGGGGAAAGCCTGAATAGAAGTAGAATTGTTTTCATTGAAAAAAATGTTTAAAGCAAATTTATAAAACCTTTTTCATAATAGCTTGGAAAGATGCAGAGATGTTCTGTCTTCTTTCCACTATAAACATTACCTACAACATCATTGTTCTTGAAACTACCCATTTGTTCTGAGACCAAACAGTTCCTTATGAATCTGAATGATCATAAGACTCTGTATAACCATGCTCTAGAGGTCACAGACCCATCTCATGAACTTAATTCTGGGGTCCTCTTCTTCCATGGCCATCTCTGGTAGCATTGCTGACACCTGGAGTAGTCCAAGTCTTCATGGACTACACTACAGCAGCATGTTAAAAAACTTTTTTGGCTACACCCCACAGCATGTGGGACCTTACTTCCCTGACCAGGGATTGAACCCACATCCCCCTTCATTGGAAGGCACAGCCTTTTAAAAATTTTTTGTATTTATTAATTTATTTTTGGTTGTGCTGAGTCTTCACTGCTTTTCTGTAGTTGCAGCAAGTGAGGGCCACTCTCTAGCGCAGGGTGCTCATTCCGGTACCTTCTCTCGTGGAGCACAGGTTCTAGAGGGCGCAGGCTCAGTAGCTGAGGGCTTAGTTGCTCTGCAGCATGTGGCACCCTTCCCTGACCAGGGATGGAACCTGTGTCTCCTGCATTGGTAGGCGGATTCTTTCCCACTGAGCCACGAGGGACACCCCACAATAGCCTTTAACTGTATGCCAGCCCTATGTATGTGTTTATACAAATATACATAGTTTAATGTATGCCAGTTCCCATAAATTCTGCAGCCAAGTTCCACACTGTTCATTTACTAGGGAAGAGAAAAATGCATCTCCAGAGGCCACGACCTTCTCTCTTAAGGGAACCTGAAAGTCCAGGCTTTCTTACTCGCCTCCAGATGAAGAAACAGTGGAGTCTCTGTTCTTTCTTGGTCTAAGTCCCTATTTTTCAGGCCTCCTCCTTCACTGTATTTTTTTTAGGTGGGGGTAAAACAGACATAACATAATCTTTATTCTTTTTACCACTGTTAAGAATAGAATTCAGTACTGTTAGCAACATTCACATTGCTGTGCAAAGTCCAGAACTTTTTCGTCGTATAAAACTCAGACTCTGTTCCCATTAAACATCAAGTTCCATTTCTCCCTCCCTCTAGCCCCTGGCAACCACCATTCTACTTTCTGTTTCTATGAGTTTTACTAATCTAGATACCTCACATAAGTGAAATCATACAGTATTTGTCTTTCTGTGACTGGCTTATATCACCTAGAGTCTTCAGTTCTCATCCATGTTGCAGCATGTATCCAAATCCCTTTCCTTTAAAAAACTGAATAATATTCCATTGTGTGTATACACCACATTTTGCTTATCCATTCATTGGTTGATAGACATTTGAGTTGCTTCTACTTTTTGACCATTGTGGATAATGCTACAGTGAACATGAGTGTATAAATACCTCTTTGAGACTCTGCTTTCAATTTTTTGGACATATACCCGGAACTGGTATTGCTAGGTAGTATGGTAATTCTATTTTTAATTTTTTGAGGAATTGCCACATTGTTTTCCATAATGGCTGTACCATTTTACATTAGTGCACATATGTAAACAATAGTGCACGAGGGTCCCAATTTCTCCACATCCTTGCCAACACATATCTTCTTCCTCTTTTTGCTGTTTTTAAAATAACAGTTATCCTAATAGGTGTGAGTTGATACCTCACTGTGGTTTTGATTTGCACTTTCCTAACTATTAGTAGTGTTGGGCATCTTTTCACATACTTGCTAGCCATTGTATATCTTCTTTGAAGAAATGTCTACTCAGATCTTTTGCTCATTTTTTAAATTGAATTATTTTGTTATCATTGAATCATGGGAACTCTTTGTAAGTTCTGGATCTTAAACTCTTACCAGATATATGGTTTGCAAATATTTTCTCCCATTCTGTAGGTTGCTTCTTCACCCTGTGTCTTTTGATGCAGAGTAGTTTAAAATTTGACATAGTCCAAAACTTCTATTCTTGCTTTTGTTGCCTGTGCTTTTGGTGTCATATTCAATAAATCATTGCCAAATGCAAGGTCATGAAGGTTTCCCCCTGTTTCTTCCAGGAGCTTTATTGTTTTAGCCTTTATGTTCATCTCTTTGATTCATTTTCATTTAATTTTTGTATACAGTGCAAGATAAGGGTCCAACTTCATTCCTTTATATGCAGATGTCCAGTTTTCTCAGCACCATTTGTTGAAAAGACTGGAACTCTAGTCAAAAATCATTTGACCATGTATGTGAGGGCTTATTTCTGACCTCTCTGTTCCTCTCCACTGGTCTAAATGTCTCTTTTTATGCCAGTACCATACTTTGATTACTGTAGTTTTGTAATGAGTTTTGAAATCAGGTATTCTGAGATCTCCAACATTGTTTTTCCTCCCAAGATTATTTGGCTCTTCATGGTATTTTAAGATTCCATATAAATTTTAGGATCGATTTTTCTATTTCTTAAAAAAAAATGCCACAGGAATTTTGATAGGGATTGCACTAAATCTGCAGATTGCTTTGGGTAATACTTACATCTAACAATATTAAGTCTTTCAATTCTCGAACAAAAGATGTCCTCCAATTTCCTTTAGTTTGTGCCTTCCCAATTTCCTTCAGCAGTGTTTTATAGTTTTCAGGGTACAAGTTCTTTGGCATCTTTGTTTAAATTTATTCCTAAGTATTTTATTTGTTTTGATGCTAAGTGGAATAGTTTTCTTAATTTTGTTTTCAGATTGTTCATTGCTAGTGTATAGAAGCACAAGTGATTTTTTAAAAAATTTATTTATTTTTGGCTGTCTTCACTGCTGCCCAGGCTATTCGCAAGTTGCAGTGAACGGGGGCTACCCTCTAGTCGTGGTGTGTGGGTTTCTCATTGCAGTGGCTTCGCTTGTTGCAGAGCACAGGCTCTAGGGTGTGTGGGCTTCAGTAGTTTCGGCACATCAGCTCAGTAGTTGTAGCTCCTGGTTCTACAGCGCAGGCTCAGTAGTTGTGGAGCAGTTGGGGCGCATGGCCTTAGTTGCTCCGTGGCATGTGGGATCTTCCCGGACCAGGGAAGAACTTGTGTTTCCTGCACTGGCATGCGTATTCTTCACCACTGAGCCACCAGGGAAGCCCTGATTATTTTTTTTATTCTTTTATAATGGAACTTTGCTGAGTTTGTTTCTTAGTTCTAACAGTTTTCTTTTGGAATTAATGCCCTCCCTGATACTCATTAGATCTGATCAGAAGACTTTGTTTCCCCTGGATATTTCCTTCACTCATTTCCTAATCTTCCTTGGCTAGGTCATTATGCTGCAATCATTACTAAGAACATCAGGGCATCAAAGGCTGCCATCAGCAGGATCTCCTGAGTTGGTAGTTGGATGGAAAGTTGGACTGGTAATTTTAGGATGCATTTGGTGGTTGGTACCCCAATGCTGAAACTTTGTTCCTGCATTGTTTCTACAATCATGATATCTCACCAACATGGAAGTGAGTGGCTGGCTGTGAGGGGCCTAGAAGCCAGAAACTTGGGCACCTCAAGAATTCCTTTGGGCCAACTTGAGGCAGAGCCTTCTTTCTAGAACAGTGTCTTGATATCCTCCCTGAAGAATACAGAGGGACTGACTAACTCTGGGCTTTCAACCCCATCATTTGCTACATTAGAATCACTGTATGACCAGCTGCACAAGGTAGCTTTATGGAGATGAAACTCTAGGGTCCAGACAACTTGGTTTGGTTCAAAAAAGCATTGATAGAAAAGCAAGGAGCACACATTGGTTGCATCATGAAAAGGCAGTTATACTATTCAACTGTGTCTCTTTCCAACTATGTCTCAACTCCACACTGATGCTATCTTCCAATTCCATCCACTCTAGGAAAGTTAAGCCTCCCTGTCCAATATTTCCATCTTTCTACAGATCTGCCCACCACTCATGGAATGCTTTTATTCAGACATTTCCAACCTACCTCTTGTAGAATCCTCTTTTTTACCAAACTGGTATAGTTCAACCTAGAGGGTACTGAATTTTCTGGGCTAAGTCCTGTCATCACCTTCTCTCCGGGAGCATGCCTCAGCCTTCAAAATCTTCAGGGATGTGCATTTTGGGGCTACTCTCAGGGGGTCAGCCTATAATTCTCCTTGACCAGATCTCTTAAGAAACTTACCCCACCATTTCCGGATCATCTGATGCTAATACACACTGTGACCCAGATCATCCTCCTCTCAACACCATCAAGGTTCCTATAAAGGGGCAAAGAGGACACTAGGATTTAAGGTGATACCTGTGCAATGAGCAGCATAGAGACCAGCCCATGGCCCAAACTCATTTCAATTTCAAATTCTGTACAGCCCAGTAGCTCAGAACCATAGGGTCAGTGCCCTGTCATGGAAATGGAAATTTTTAATTTGGGATACTCTCATTGGAAAAGAAGGATCAGAGAATTTCATGGTCTTTGACATGAGCTCTAACTGACCACCATCATCATAAAAGAACAACAGGAGGAAGAGCAGATGGGATTGGACCACTGTCCACACAAACCTCTTTTCTGTCCTGGGGTGACTTCTCAGCCATGACATCTTTCTTCCTACCTAGGGCTACCTGGATGCTGTTTCATGAGGCATGACAGCTTACCTGGGTGCTATCATCATCTTGCAGATGTGATACCCAATGTCACAACTGTACTGCAAGTTAGGACATTATGAAGCCCTGGGACTCTGAAGACCCCAGGATCTTCTCCAGCCCCTCCTGGGCCTCTTGTAGATGCATGGGCATACTTTAGTTTCATAGTTCAGAATAATAACAATCTCAGAGGGTTTGATTCCTTGACCAAATAGGGCCTGTCTTCCAATGTCAAGGCAAAACCACCATCAGATTAGTCAACAGAATCAAGAAAGACCATTCCTGTCTTCTCAGATTCCTGAAGAGAATGATCTCAGATCCCTCTTCATATACCATGTGGAATTGTATGTTCTGTCTTTTAGGTCAGTGGTTTACAAAGGACTTTCCTTGGAGCCCTTTCTAGGGAGAACCAAGGGAAGATGAAGCAAGAGAAACTCCAGCCCTCCTCCCTTTTTTCTGGCTTTACTCCAAACAGTTCTACTTTTCTCTTGTATTTTGAGCTTCATCCTGATCTTTTTGTTAGAATGATGGATTTCACAGCTTTTTTAAAAGGTTAGGAAATCAGTGATCCATTCCAAGGGCACTCTTCTGTGGCTAACACACCCAGGAGTGAAGTACACCCACTGGTTTGTATTCTTACCACAGAAGGTTGGTACCTCCACTCGAATTCTGGCCACAAGTACATTATCTATCCCTTCCCCATCAGGATTTCTGGGCAGTAACCCTCTGGACAGAGGGAAGGGTTCTGCTGAAACATATTGTGTCCCATATAAACTGCAGCCCTTGCCTTTCATACAGACACAGCATTGACAGGCAGATGACAGATACCATGGTATTCAGGGCCACCTCAGCTGAACCCCACACCATCCAGATGAATATGGACACACACGTGATCTCCTTGTCGGAGATTCCCCACGCTTCAGCCTATACCCTTCATCAGCCTTGTTTCCTCTGCACTCAGGATCCAAGGATCCCAACAGCCTAGCCAAACTAGTCAAAGAGAAAAGGAGTTTGGGATGGATTTTCTTGGGCTCCAGGATCTCAAAGGTGGAGCCTGAAGCCATATTCCCACCCAGTCCTTCTCTTCCAACTTGTATCACCCTGATGAAGCCCCCTCTCAAATTCAGACTTACCCTGGTGCAAAAATGAGAGGGGCTTTGCCAGCAGGACCTGTAGCTGGACTCCTGGATAGTGCTCTTGCTGGATGTGCATCTAAGTCCTGCTGGCTCCAGTTCTGCAGCTTTCTTCAAGGGCACACACCCAGCCTACAGCCCCTCTCCTGGCATCTCTATCACTCCCATAGGAAGCAGGGACACAGAGGAGGATTCTCAGGTGGCTACTGGATCTGCAGGCAGAAATTGTTCTCCCATAGCACGAACACCTGGGGAGAGATCAAGGCAGGACAACAGGAAGTCAGGGAGGAGGTAGCAGGGCTCAGGGAGGGACTTGTGGGCTCAGTGAGAAGTAAGGGAGGTAAGGAAAGGGGTCACGGGTTCAGGAAGTGTAGTGGGGGAAATGCCAATGTTGGAGGATTAGGAACCCAAGCTTCCCTTCCTCTTTAGGCCTTTGGGAGGGGCACCCAGGTTGAGTTTGGAGCTGGCAGTGGGGGTTCATTATTCCAGTGCTCAAGAGTCTTGGGATGCAGCAGTACAATGAGACAACTGTTTCTGTGCTGGTTTTTTTTTTTGTTTTTTGATCCAGAATTTTCCTTGATTCCAGTCATTGCCAGCAGGCTTCTCCTTAGGGTGTGCTTATCTTCTCCAGACCCAGTATGAATACTAGGACTCCTCTAGGACTCCCTCCTTTAATAGGGCTGAAATGGTCCAAAACAGCATATCCCAAACTCTAAGAACATAAAGGGCAAACATAAAATGATGCATGTAGGGCTTTATCCAACCAAAAACTATGGACTGACTCACTTCCCACAAGAGCAGCCATGAGTTGGAGTTTTTTCAGGATTTGAGTTTTCCTGATGGAAATCCCGAGTTTCTTTCCTCCAGATCCATCTGAAGGTCACCCTGCCCCTCAAAGAAACCCAACCTTGTGGGCCCAATGAGTAGGGCCTTCTCATTTCCTCCTCTTCTTCCCAGAGCTAGACCGTGGTTAGCTCCCTTCCTAGGCTCCTCTGTTCCTCTGCAGAGTCCAAGAGGACTTAGGGTTCCCAGGTGACTCCTGGATTTGTCCCCAGAGGACCGAAAGCTGTTTGTGGGTATGCTGGGCAAGCAGCAGGGTGAGGAGGACGTCAGACGCCTATTCCAGCCCTTCGGCCACATCGAGGAGTGCACCGTCTTGCGGAGCCCTGACGGCACTAGTAAAGGTGACTTGAGCTGACCCCTGCATCTCCTGATGACCCCTGCCTCACTCTGGACCACAGGACCCTTTGGCCTCTGTGACCTGAGCCCCCTCTATCCTGCCCCAGGCTGTGCCTTTGTGAAGTTCGGGAGTCAAGGGGAAGCTCAGGCAGCTATCCAGAGTCTGCACGGCAGCCGGACAATGGCGGTGAGGGCGGGCGCTGGGGCCAGGGCGAGGCCAGTGGGGTGGGGACTGGCTGCTTCTCCCCACAAACCCGGGGAAATGAGCAAGGCACTGGGACCAGCGCTGGAGCTGGGGGTTAGACCGGTCCTTACAGCCTCCTCTGTCTGGTATGCCCAGGGCGCCTCGTCCAGCCTCGTGGTCAAGCTGGCAGACACGGACCGCGAGCGCGCACTGCGGCGGATGCAGCAAATGGCGGGCCAGCTGGGCGCCTTCCACCCGGCGCCGCTGCCGCTCGGGGCCTGCGGAGCCTATACCACCGCGGTAGGTGCCTGGTCCTGGAGCACACCCGGCGCAGCGAGTGAGCCAGGCGGGGGCCAGGGAGCCCAAGCAGCTGCCCGCCACTGGGCCCTCCACACGTGCCCTTCCTCCCTCCCACAGATTCTGCAGCACCAGGCGGCCCTGCTGGCGGCGGCGCAGGGCCCGGGCCTCGGCCCAGTGGCGGCAGTGGCTGCGCAGATGCAGCACGTGGCGGCCTTCAGCCTGGTGGCGGCGCCGCTCCTGCCCGCCGCAGGTACTGCGCTCGGGGGGCGGGGCTGGGGCGTGGCTGGGCCAGGGCGGAGCTAGCGTGGGGCGGTGACCTGACTTTCCCACCTCCTCGCCACCTGCAGCCAACTCCCCTCCTGGCGGTGGCCCGGGCACGCTTCCGGGCCTCCCGGCGCCCATCGGCGTCAATGGATTCGGTCCCCTGACACCCCAGACCAACGGGCAGCCAGGCTCGGACAGTCTCTACAATAACGGGCTCTCTCCTTACCCAGGTGGGCCCCCCACTCCGCCCAAATCTCCCCCCAAATGGAGTGGGGAGCTGGGAGTGGGGGCTGGGGGATGGTGGTGGCAAGGCCTGGCCTCCCTAAGAAGAGACTCCTTCCTTCTGCCTCTCATCGCCTCCCTCCATACTCCCTGCATTCTCACCTGGCCCTGCCTGTCAGCCCACCTTCATTTTGGGCCTTGTGCCCCTCTCTTCCCAGCCCAGAGTCCCGGCGTGGCTGACCCCCTGCAGCAGGCCTACGCTGGGATGCACCACTACGCAGGTTTCACTTGGCGCTACGCGGCCTGGGAGGTTTGAAGGGCCCCAGAAAGTAACGGGGAGATTTGTGGGGGGCCGGGTGGGGGGGAGGTTAGGCTCTGTTCTGAGGAGTCGACCTTCCATTCCCTCACCCTTGGACCCAGAACGACCTTTCTAGGGGTGGACCAGCTGAATTGGTCAAAAGTGGCCAGGCAGATGGGGTCCTGCTTGGGGGATGGCTCCTGGGGGGGTCACTGCCCGCTCCCACCTCTGTCTCCAGCAGCCTATCCGTCGGCCTATGCCCCAGTGAGCACAACTTTTCCCCAGCAGCCTTCACCCTTGCCCCAGCAGCAAAGAGAAGGTGAGGGACAGGGGTCTGGAGATCAGGGCCTGGTGGGGCTGGACTTAGGACTCCTCCCCTCAACCAGCCTGCTGCTGTTCCTCCAGGCCCGGAAGGCTGTAACCTCTTCATCTATCACCTGCCTCAGGAGTTTGGTGATGCAGAACTCATCCAGACATTCCTGCCCTTTGGAGCCGTTGTCTCTGCCAAAGTCTTTGTGGATCGTGCCACAAACCAGAGCAAGTGTTTTGGTGAGTTGAGCCCCATCCGTGGACCTTTCCCTCTCCTAATTACAAGGCTCCCTACAAACCCTAAATTTGCGCCTCCAGAAGTCAATGATTCCTAGAAACTGAGTGTATAGCACTCAGCAGGGTCCCAGACCAGGAACAAGTCTATATCAGGGTCACCTGGGACGGTCAGGTGTCTGGTAGATCTTCAGCCAGGTTGAAGGCTTCAGAATCTGGCCAGGGCAAGTGGATGAGGGGATGGTCTGGAGTCAGAGATCCCCTCCAACTGCAACTGCAATTCAGAGGATCAGAATGGGAGCTGTGGAGGGAGAGAGCTTTTTCCACGCCAGGAAAAAATAGAGAAACACCTGCCACCCAACACACGCACTCAGAATTACCTCCTGTCTTTCCAAGAATCACAGGAAACTCAGGCTACTTGACCACGCCTGTATGAGCCTGTGTCCGTGTGTGTGTGTGTGCACGCACATGCAAACACTGAAGGGTGGAGGAGTATTTGATTGATGAAATTGGCCTAAGTGGGGTGAGGAGAAGAGGCTGGGCAGAGTTCCCAGCTAACCTCTCTGCACATACCCTCCAGGGTTTGTTAGCTTTGACAATCCAACCAGTGCCCAGACAGCTATTCAGGCCATGAATGGCTTTCAGATTGGCATGAAGAGGCTCAAGGTTCAGCTGAAGAGGCCCAAGGATGCTAACCGGCCTTACTGATCTGCTCTTACTGACCAACCACGAAAGGTGAGTCCTTCGTGGACCCCAGGCAGATGCATCCTGAGTGACAGAGGCACTCTCAGCTTTGCTAATCCTTTTGGGATGTTGAGGGCATCCACGTCTGAAAAAATCTGGGTGAGAAGAGCCTGGAGTTAGGAGGAATCCTCAGTTTGGGGCTATTTTTTCCTTCCATATATGAACTGAGATAAACTTGACATCATTTCTTTCCCCACAGCCTGGGAGAGATGATTACAGTAAGATCCAATGAGCTTATTCCATGCCAGAGATAGTCATGGGGACCTGTGTAGGGAGGGCAGAGGGGTGGAGAGTGAGACTAGAAAAGTAGGTTTGTGTCAGTTCATGAAGGGTCTTAAAGATCACAAGTTCGGAATTTATCCTGAAGGTGGTAGAGAATCACTGAAGAATTTAAGCAAAGGAAGGACAGGATGTCAGAGCTGGGATGAAGGCAGTGAACGTGCAGATGAACAGAGAAGCAAATGCTCTGAAGATTTATGGGGCCTGGTGGCGATGGGGAGGAAGATGACAAGCTCTCTTAGATTTCTGGCAAGCCCAGCTGCCTGTGACTTTTAGAGATTTGCTGTCTCAGAAGGTTCACAAGACCCTCCTTCACTTGAACTATCCTCCAGGGAGCCCTCGGGAGGGGGTGCAGGGCCATGGTGATCTGCCCAGAATCCAGAGTCTGGCTCCAGGGGGGAAGCCTGAGGTCCAGCCACTCACCTGAGATGTCACGGATGGGGCAAGTTGTCTTGCTCTCCAGAGTGACATTTTTCTTTTTCTCCTTTCTCTCTCCTTATCAATTAATACCCAACATGGGAAACGGAAGAGTGAGAAGAAAGGAAAAGAGAAGCACATAATGCTTGAGCAGCCCTTCCTGAAGGAGCAGCCGCAGATGGAGGTGGACCCTAGGCCAACACCTGGGCTCAGGCCGCTTTAAGGATTGTTTTCACCAAGTGGGTTGTTCTGTGCCTGTGATGAAGAGCTCAGGCTGGCAAGGCAGCTGGGGCTGGCTGAGGAGTGACTGTCTAGGGAGGGGAACCAGCAGATGGCCTAGGGGGTGCCAAGGGCTTCTCCAAAAGGAAGCCCAGATCTACTTCTTTCAAAATCATATCATTCCTTAGAGTTTAGGGACCAAAGGACTATTGCTTTTTTAAGAATATATATATATATATATAAATTAAAACAAAGAAAAAAAAACAAAAAAAAAATCAAGAGAAACAAAAGAAACAGTATAGAGTCTAATAAAAGCTGCCTTTAAATATCCCTAGGAGACAGGGTGAAGAAGACCCTTGAAGGCCCCAGCCTAGGCAGAGGAAGGCTGTGGAAAGATTATTCTGTGTCTCATTCCCTCTTAACCTCCAAACCCCACCCCAACACCTTTTAAAATAATTAAGGACTTGAGGTCTGTGCTCCTAAGCAGGTAACAAGAGAGTTACAGAAGGCAGTGAGCCCACAGCCCCCAAACTCAGAGAGCATCCCTGAATATGCCTTGACAAGGAGCTCTGGCCTGCCCTGGTCCTTGCCACCCTGAAAGGCCTCTTAAGCCAGCAGGAGTGGGAACCTGCCTTTCCTTCTTGACAGCCTTTCCCGTGGAACCTCTGCTTCCCCAGTTAGGATGAAAGGGAGTCTGGACCACCCCAGTCTTTCCCTTCCCTGTCCAGATAGACAGAGGCCCTGCCTTGGGCTGAGCTGAGACACCTCCTGTTTCCCCTCACCTTGAGCCAGCCCCAGTGTCCCCTTGCTCCAGACCACCTTCCGTCTCTAGGTCTAAGTCTACCCACCTGTAAAGTAGATTCAGGATATATATAGAGGGCTGTGACAACAGACTTGGAAGATTTGCTTCTGTATATACTGCCATTGAGAGAAGGGGATAATTTTCAATATTGTAGAAGCTTCAGAATTTAGAGGTCCCTCTTTACCCAGGACCTGGGAGGGAAGTAGATGTTTTGCCAAAATACTTCTTCATTCCTTTAAAAACTACATCTTTCCTATGCAAGAGTGTCTCACATGTGCTTATCTGAGGTGCTTCTAGATGGTGAGCAGTGTTCAGCTTAGAAGTGGTGTGTGCTCTGTCTGTCTGTCTGTGTCTGTCTGTGTATCCAGTGGGTGCCATATAAAGCTGATCGATGGTGGTGCTTCCTGCCTGCTTCTGTGAGATGGGCAAAAGTTTCGGCTTAGAACACCATGACTCACCTTGCCTTGGTCAGCCTTTCCTGGCCCACAGGGCCTTGCACATACTGTTCCTAGGAGGATAAACTTTGCTCCACCCCACACACCTGGATCAGACTAGTCTGGGGCCCCAGCTGTGTGGTGGGCACTCTGGTCCCCAGATGTTACTGAGGCTGGAGGCCTCTAATCTGATGTCACATCAGACAATGAAGGACATGGCAGGCGGAGAGTTCCTCCTTCATAAGAGTTTCTAAGAAAACTTGTTCCCACCTGTTCCTTTGTCTTTGACTCATTTTTGGAGGGAATGGGATGAAAACTAACATTACCAGATAAGGTGCCATATGTAACAACAAGTAACTTCCAGCTGAGAGAGGAGCTAGTGTCAAGGGCGTCTGTACACCAGCACAATACTAACACACAGACTAAGCACCCTGGACACAGATGGAATATGTAACATCTGCACATACAAACAGCTATTCACATGGAGGCATAGCAGCCCCTCACTGCTAGGTGCTAAGCACTGTGCCAGGAGCTGGAGCACAGGCATGGTCTAAGCCAGTGCTCCCCAACCTGTTCTGGCACCAGGGACTGGTTTCATGGAAGATAATTTTCCCACGGATGGAGGAGGGATGGTTTCGGGATGATCCAAAGCATTATATTTATTGTGTACTTTATTTCTGTTATTATTACATCAACTTCACCTCAGATCATCAGGCATTAGATCCCGGAGGTTGGAGACCTCTGCTTTAGTTAAAAAACTTGCTGATCCCTCTAAGCTCATGGAAGACTTATATAATGTCTAATGAGTTTGAACAACTATGTGTTTGTTTCTCTGTTGTGTGTGCATGTGTAAGTCCAAACACTTTCAGTTGCAAGTGTCAGAAACCCAACTCAAGCAAGCCAACAAGAAATTAGTTGGCTTACAAAACTGATAAATCAAAGGATGTACCTGCCTTTAGGTATGGCTGGATCTAGGCTGGATCTGGATTTAGGGATTCAAATGATGATGTCTCCATCTCTTGACTCTGCTTCCTTCTATTTGGTGGCCTCACCAGTTCTAGCTCTAAAGACCTTGGGAGAACTTTGGCCAGAATAGACATGTGCCCATATCTAGGGTGGAAAAGTAAGCCACCATAATTGACAACCTCACCAGGACTGGGTGGAAGGGTGAAATGGCTCTTCAGAAGAAGAGAAGATGGGCAGATAAGCAAGGTGCATCCACAATATTCCAAAATCCACCTATATACTCTTCTTGACAAACATACAATGTCAAAAATATGTCTGCCTAACGATACAACATTCTTAGGCCTAACAAAATGCTGCACTCACCCACTTCTCAATGGGAGGCAAAACCAAATCATGCCCAGTTGCTTCATTGAGCCCTCAGAGCTGGGTACCTTTGTGATGTGCAGTTATTGATTAGGTCTGGATATAACGCCTTGTGATTTTGCAATCTATGGCTTAAAGATAAATGTAGCTACCTCTGCATAACCAATATGAAATAGTAGAGGGAAATAGGATAACCATTAAAAAAATTCAATTTGGACTAGAAGAGGAAACAATGGTCACTAATCCATAGCATATAGCAGATCCATCCTTCTGGACAGTGGAGTGAGTTTCTTTTTCAATGAAACTACTTACTCTAGGTCCTTTCTTACTGGAAAGTATATTCTTTATCCATTGTCCTTTATGGACATCCCCAAGAAGATGCCCCTTCTGGAACTGAAGCATCCCTCCTCCCTTTGGACATGGTGCGTGTGTGCATGTTCAGTTGCTCAGTCGTGTCCTACACTTTGGTGACCCCATGGACTGTAGCCCACCAGGCTCCTCTGTCCATGGGATTTCCCAGGCAAGAACACGGGAGTGGGTTGTCATTTCCTCCTCCAGGGAATCTTCTTGACCCCAGGATTAAACCTGTGTCTCCTGCATTGCAGGCAGATTTTTTTAACTGCTTGAGCCATCAGGACAGCTCCCTTTGGACATGGGTTTGAGCCTAAACATTCTTAGAGATATGTCTTCCCAGATCCCTGACTGTCAAGTGAGAAGTCTCTGCACAATTTCTTTCAAACCGACTTGATTTGATTACCGGTTGCTCTCTGTGAGCTAGTAGCCATCATCAAGAATCTTGCCGAGTCCTTGTCCTTGAGTCTGGATCTGGTCCTTGTGGTTTCTCTTGGCAACAGGTCACATTTGGCCCATTCCCCTCCCACTCAGCTTCATGGCTTCCACAATGGCCTGTGATAATGTCAACCGTAACCTCAGTGCTTCTGGAAATATTATATATATATATGCATATACATATAAAATATATTACCTATATATGTAATACATTAAATATATTACCTATATAACACTTGGCTGGCTCATGCTCCAGTAACCCTGACTCAGTTCAGTTCAGTTGCTCAGTCATGTCCGACTCTTGGCGACCCCATGAACCACAGCACGACAGTCCTCCCTGTCCTTCACCAACTCCTGGAGTTTACCCAAACTCATGTCCATTGAATTGGTGATGCCATCCAATCATCCTCTGTCATCCCCTTCTCCTCCTGCCCTCAATCTTTCCCAGCATCAGGGTCTTTTCAAATGAATCAGATCTTCACATCAGGTGGCCAAAGTACTGGAGTTTCAGCTTCAACATCAGTCCTTCCAATGAACACCCAGGACTGACCCCCTTTAGGATGGACTGGTTGGGTCTCCTTGCAGTCCAAGGGACTCTCAAGAGTCTTCTCCAACACCACAGTTCAAAAGCATCATTATTTCGGCGCTCAGCTTTCTTTATAGTCCAACTCTCACATCCATACATGACTACTGGA